TCTGAGAAAGCCTGGTCTCCTGACCCACCAGGGAGGAATCTCATGACTAATGACCCAGATCTTGTGCTGAAAAGTCATGGGTCTGTGGCCAGAGACCCCAGTAGCTGGTTGAGGGTGGGGCCCGGCTGCCGGGAGAACAGAGGGGCTGTGCTGGGACTGGGCAGTCCCCCACACTGCAACAGGACACACTCGTGTGCAGCCTCAGAGCCACACACACTGTGCCTCACCAGCAAACTCTGTCTAAAATCCCGTCCCCTGCCGCCTCTCTCTCTCTCTTCAGCCTTCAAAACCTCAGAAGGGAGAGAACCTGCTCCCCGCCCTGAGTCCGAGAGATCCCAGCTTGGACCTCATCTGAGCCACTTTTCTCTGTGGGCCTCCACCGGACTCAGGGGCTCAGGGAGCTCTCTGACGCTTTCCCCTGGTCTGTGGGACGCTGCTGGGTTCCGCATCACACACGTCCATCTCTCTGCTAGCTGAGAAGGGGCCTGAGCCTTAGAGCCACGTATCCTGGGGCCAAGCATGGCTGCAGTCTGCCGAGGGGAGGGGAGCGTGGGGACAGTGGACCACTGTCGGTGCTGTCCAGCTCTGCTTCGGGAGCTACCAGGTCTCCTGACCCCCGGCTGCTTCCCAGGAACACCGGCTCCCGACTCAGGCCGCGTCTGGGCGCTGCGGCAGCCGCCGCTCTCTGGCGACGTGGAATCGCCGCCCGTGCAGCTTCTGCGCCTTCGTGGTCCGCGGCGCCGGCTCGGGCTACGCCCTCTACTCCGTCCCTGCGGAGGATCCTCGCCTCCACCTGGGGCCGTAAACTGGCGGGGGGACCCTGCTGCTGGGCTCTGGTCAGAAGCTGGTCAGGGCTCCACGCAGGGAGCGGGGCGGGGGTGGGGGGTCACACGGCCGGGCTCGTGGGGGGTTGGTAGCTCAGGCGCGGACGGATGGGGGGGATGGGGTGCGAATCCCTACGGAGAGGACCAAGTGGGGACAGGGGAGGGTTCCGTGAAGATAGGGCGCCCACAGGATTCGGGGAGCTGAGATTCCCCGCCCTAGAGCTTCGCTCTCCGTTTTTGCTTCTTCGCAAGCGATTCGGAACTGCCGACTGGGTCTTTCCTTAGGTGACGAAAATCTGAAACTGTTTCTGCCGCTGAAGTCCGAGCCAGAGAGAATCCCGGGTCAGCCGGAGCGCCGGCGTCGTGGGTCCGGGATCGCCGGGGACATCGCCAGATACCAGATCGCCCTGGCCTCAGGCGGGCGGAGCAGGAGGCCAATCGCCGCCCACGGGTAGTATCCGACTCCCGGCTTAGGCCCGAGTTCTACCGTCCAGCAGGTCACATCTTCAGCAGGGCAAGAGGTCGGGAGGCTCGGGAGCCACGACTGTTTGGTAGAGACCTGGGGCCTCTGAGCGCCTGTATGCGAAGGACCCGGGGCTGCCGACTCAGCTGGGGGAACGCGGGACCCGGGTACCGGGGACAAAGGGCAAGGAACGGAACCTACAGGGTGATCTCGGATACGCGGGGGAGGGGGGAGGGAAGAATGGACAGTGAGCGGGGAGGACGTGGAGGGGGGATCCCAGGACTAAGCAGCCCCACTCCCGGACCAGAGAGGACGGCCGCTTGGTTTGGGCCCGCACCTGGGCAGCCGCGGGTACCCCTGAGCGTCAACGCTGGCCCTCCAGATGTTGGCCCTCCCGTTGTCCGTCCTGGTGGTGTGGGCTGTGACTCAGGCAGGGATGCACGGTGACCTGCCAAGATTCTGTGCACCCCAGGACAGACCAGCCACCGGCACCCGATGGGCAGATAGCACGTCCTCCCTCCCGCGCTGAGACCCAGGCAGCCGGCGCCCCAGGAATGCGACCCTGGACACAGTCGGTGGCTCCGACTTGGCTCTGGACGCCAGTCCCAGGGTCTGAGAAGCCCAGAAGGCCTGGGCACAGAGACCCCTATTCAGCCGAAGTGGGTAGTGCGAGACAGCGGGACGCGGATGGAACCGTGCACCGGGACTCTGGGGTGCAGAGCGGGTCTGCAGGGCCTGAAACCGGAGAGGATTCCCAAGTGCGCTCTGAAGAAGGGTTTTCGGCCGGGAACCAGGACCCTCTCACCTACAGGCTGTCGCCCACCAGCAGGTGCAGGGACGCAGCACTGCCAGCAGAGGGCAGAATCTGCCCGGTCGGTCCGCCAGCCTTGAGCCGGGCTCTGCGCGCCCGCTCCTTGCGGCTCGGCTTCTCTCCGCCGCTGCCGCGCCCCCGCCCCAGACGCCGGGAGAAGGCGGCCCAGGCCCAACCTCGGGAGCTTGAGGCCTGGGGTTTGCAAGAACAGGGGACCAAGGGCATGTGAGAGAAACTCCACATCCACTCATCAACTGTCCTGGATACAGACACACAAAGACACCGAGAAATACACGGAGACGGAAAGCTACACATAGTACACACACACCCCCAAATCCCCCAAAACTCTGAGACACCCAAGCACACAGAATTATTCAGAAACTCGGAGATACACACAGACACACTAAGGTGACATAAGGACACACATACAGAAAGGATCCCAGACACAATACAGAGGCTTCGAGGCGACACACAAATTCATACACATCCTCAGAGTGACAAACACGGGGACGTACACAAAGACCTACAAAACCACAAAAGACAGACACGGTAGGATTCGCAGAGTCACACATACACACACAGATGCAGGGAAATCAGACCTAGATTAACAGATTCACACATTCGGGGCCCAGAAAGTCGCAGAAACACAGAAATATCGTATGTGCACAGAGACACGAGTGCACACGTAAGCGAGAACCTCAGAAGCGAAAGCGTCGACACGCACAGACACACACGGATACTCACCGACACACACGCAGGTACTGGGGTGTGGCGGGAGGCCCTAATCCTCCACAAAGCCGGGCCCCTCCACGGGGCCCCACGGCACAGGGGGCCACTTCTGACCTAGCCTCCCGCAGGCTCCAAATCCGATCCGCCCTCTCGCCTCCAGCGGGGTCAGGGGACCCGCCTCCCATGCCCTCCGCCCCCGCCCCGCTCCGCGCTGCTGCTCCACTCTGGGAGGGGCGGGAGCCGCCCCGCAGCAGTTCCCGGGGTCAGCCCGCGCCGGCCCCTGGGCCGCATCGTTCCCCCCCACCCCGTCCGCTCCCGGGCGAGCCGCCCCTCCGTAGGGACCCAGGGGCCGAAGACAGCCGGTCACG